GGTTCTGCTGGCAAGAGAGATCTGTTATTATTTGACAGTTCTGTTGGCCAGGTCTCATCTCTGACATGGAGGCTTCTCCAGGTTACACAGGACCTGTTTCTGATCGGCAAATCCCTCCTCACCACCCCTCCTAATCTATACTAGATTAGATCTTAATCTAGTATAGAGTACTGCTCAATTGTATAGCAATTTGTAAAATTCGATGGAAATTGACTGCTGATAAAAGATAAATACATCGAACGAAAGCTCCATGTATTTAACTATACTATGGTGTTTCTATAGGATCTGTATTTCTGTTTGATCTCGTTTATGTCTTGCTGTTATTGCCTATTAGCACAGTATCGTGTTTTATTATAGCAATAGCACTTATATACCGCTTCACCAGGGTTGGGCTTCAAAAATTGAAGCAATGGGTTCTCTGCCTGATTGCTGGATGGGCGTGGCCATGGTGGGCGTGGCCTAGTTGGCCTCCTGCACTATGGTGGGGGGGGGTGTTTTTGCCCTCCGCGGGCTCAGGAGGCTTTTATTGGGCTTCTGGAAGGGCAAAATCGGCCTTCCCGGGCTCTGGAGGCTCTCTGGAAGCCAGATACAGGCCCATTTTCAACCGTCCTGAACTTCTGGGAGGCCAGTTTTTTGCCCTCCACGAACTTCTGCACGCGCCCTGTACTTACCTGCATCCAAAACGGGGACTCCTGGGAAGGGGAGCTGGGGGGTCCAGCCAGGAGTGGGATTTGGGGGTTCTTCAAACTGCACAGAATCTTAGCTAGGACTCTCCTGAACTCCTTGCAAACCCCCGGTAGCCCACCCTTGCGTTTCACAGTGCTTTACAGCCCCCTCTAAGCAGTTTACAGAGTCAGCCTATTGCCCCCAAAGTCTGGGTCCTTATTTTACTGAGAAGGATGAAGCCTCACTCAACCTTGAGCTGGTGAGAATCAAACTGCTGGCAGTCGGCAGAATTAGCCCGCAACACTGCATTCTAACAACAACACTGTATTATATGTATAAAAAGCTTAGTGTAATGTTCACCCAAGTTTTATCTTTATGATAACATGCTTACCTTTTACATAGTCATCTATATAGTTAATAGATTTCATTTTAAAGGATATTAGAATTTGGCATTAGAAATGTAATCTCTTTTATTATCTTACTGATCTTTTTCATATGGAGATGGTAATGTTGGGAAGGATTTTCAGTGCTTGAAATAAAATACAGGTGGTCCTCAACTTATGACCATAATTGAGCTCAAAATTTACATTGCTAAGTGAGAAATTTGTTAATTTGTTGCCCCATTTTATGACTTTTCTTGCCACATCTGTTAAGGGAATCACTGCAGTTCTTAAATTGGTAACGGCTGTTCAGTGAATCTGAATTTCCCAATGATTTTGCTAGTCAGAAGCTGATCACATGACCCTGGGACACTGCAACCGTCATAAATGTGAGTCAGTTATCAAACATCCGAATTTAAAGGGGATGCTGCAACAGTCATAAGTGTGAAAAATGATTATAAGTCACTTTTTTCAGTGCCATTGTAACTTCGAATAGTCAGGACTACCTGCAAATCTGAATTTGGGAAGCTCTGCATGGATTAACACCTCCCCAAATATATAAAATAAACACCCATCTAAATATCATTTAAAAAGGAACTGTGTGAATTAAATGATAAATGATAATATTCTCTCATCCCTATCATGGTTTGAGTTTTAGCAGTATGTGTGTTTGTGCGTGTGGGGAGGGAATTAGGCAAGTTTTTCTCAACCTTAACAACTTTAAGAGGTATGAAGAAAATATGCAATAAATCATCTCCTGTTTGGGAGCTGGGTAATTGTAGGTGTTAAAGTGAAGTGAAGAAAGCTTGCAGTGCATTTTAGAAGAGAAGTGCTTCGGCACAGGCTAAAGAAAGATTTCGGTTTTGAGAAGCTAATCATGATTCCCACCTATTTGCTATTTTATAATAGTGAATATTTTATAGTGGTGGGATTCAACTAGTTTGCACCACTTTGGCTGAACTGGTTGTTAGATTACTGGCTGGCCCCTCCACTTCCACTCCTCCCCGGAGTCCCCACACGTCCTGTTTTGGCTCCCAAATAAGTAGCTCCCAGGTAAGTACTAGGCCCAAAATAGTGTGTGTGCGTGTGTGAGAGAGAGACATTCCTCCTGTGGCCCATTTTTGCTCCCAGGATGCTGCAGGGAAGCCTACTAGGCCCAAAACAAGGCATGTGGGGCGGTGCACCATCCCACGGCCTGTTTTTGCTCCCAGGGAGGTGCAGGAGGCCAAGTGCTGCTTGTCACATCCCCTGGCCCCGCTCACCAGGGCCACAACCACCTGGCTGGTCATTAGGGCAGAGAACCGGTGGTTGAATTATTTGAATCCCACCACTGTTTATAACACATCCTCTTTGAAGCTTAATGGACTGCCCACCGCTGCCCTCAATCGGGAAACATCCAATGAATGTGTGTAAAAACTCCTTGAACCTTGGATTCTGATTCCGACCTTCTGGTGGTGCTTTTGATGGTTTGGTGGATGATTATACATGGCAAAAACAGGTGTTGTGGTGCGCCGGCAGCAGGTGTGGATGGCTGAGGTCTCAGAGAGCGAGGACTCAGATGAGGGGCCTGCGTGTGATGCAGGGATGGGGCCAGGACCATCAGGGAGTGGAGTGCTGCCTTTGGAGATTGTGGAGGCTGGCAGCAGTGATGAAGAGGTCCCCGAGGAGCCTGTTTCCAGTGCGCATGCACGCAGGGCTGCTCGAAGGAAAGAGCAGCTGCAGCAGCACGGGCGACTCAGGAGTAAGGCTGCAAGGTAATGGCCCCTCCCTTAAGAGATAAAAGCCAGTTGAGAAACCGGAGTTCTTTGCAGGAAGCAAAGAAGTTTTTGCACTCAAGCCTTGTGGACGTTTGGAGTATCTTGGTTGGTGTTGGGAGATTCTTTGTGTTTGAAATATTTCTTAGTATTCTTGGCATCCTTGCACAACCTTGGCAAGGCTTGTTCTTATCAGAGGCAATTAGTTTGAAACAGCCTTTTAACCATGAAGGAACGGAATTCGTAAATCATTAAAAGATTTTGCTGTTACCTCTGTTTCCTGTTTATTTTCTTGGAACAAAGTTTGGGTCAGAACAACAGGACAGCAAATGATGTGGGATGAAAATCCATGTTTGAAATGCAATACTAAACTTCAGGCCAACTTTCAGCTTATAAAGAGCAAATTACTTTTATTTTATTATCACCATAGGTAAACTGTTCTAATACAGTATGGGTTTTATTAACATATGCAAATATTGTAGGCAATATGAAAAATTTAGACAGTTATTATCAATCAAATATCAATCTACTCCTTGCAGAGAGTCGGGAAAAAAAACAACACATCAGTTACGACATTACACAAACTAGAAGCATAAAACTGCTCATTAAAAACACACAATTCCCAAAGGGAAATAAACCCTTACAAAGTACAGTGAGTCATACAAACCATGATCTAATACAAATTCCTTCATAAACACAAGCTTTTTCACAAAGGTCTCAGACAATGTTCACAATTAAAGTAGATCGTTGGTTTATTTTAAACGTATAGTTTCTAAAGTGTTAATTTGGAAGAAAACCCAGTGGATATGTACAGAAAACAACTTGTTTCAATGAACATTTGCTAGATAAATTTTATTTGCTGAAAACATTACTTAAGATTGAATTGTAATATTGTATTGCCCCACAGATCTCTTCTTTGTAACATGAAACTTCACGGTCAGGTCTCTATTCCTCACACTAAAATAAATCAAAATATATTCCAGGCAATTTCAATTCTGTGCCTTGCACAATTTAAACAAACTCTGTCATTTGTTATTACTGTTTTAGCTAATTTAGCTGATATTCCTGGTTGTGGGATATGTCTATGACCTACACTCTATACATTCCTCTATCACAGGTCTCTTGATGTCATGTGCACCATTGGGCATTATATAACTCACGTCATTTGTGTGATATTGTCATAATGTGCCCAGCCCTCACAATGCCTAGGGGTTCTACTATTTCAGCAGTTGTTGCACTCAAACTACTTATTTCTCACATTCTTAAATTTCTGCCTCCTGCAAAAACTACCAATGCGACATAAGGAAACATCCTATTTATGCTGCTGAATGGGAGAAAGGATTTATAAGATTTGGCACACGGTATTTAGGCTGTTCCTCTTCATAGATCACCGCCTTGTTGTGATGAAGGGGCTTGTGCAGCTCAAAGATATGAGTTGAGTTGAGTTGTGCAGGGCCACCCAAGACAGACAAGTCATAATGGAGAATTCTGACAAAACTTAGTCCACTGGAGAAAGAAATGGCAACTCACTTCACTATCCCTTACCAAGAAAACCCCATGGACAGCACCAAAAGGCTAAAAGATAAGACGGCAGAAGATGGTTGAAAGGTATCCAATATGTGAATGGGGAAGAGCGGAGGGCAATTACAAATAACTCCAGAAAGAGTGAAGCATCTGGGCCAATGCCGAAAGGATGTTCATCTGTGGAGATGTATGGTGGTGAAAGGGAAGTTTGATGCTATAAAGAACAATATTGCATAGGAACCCTGAATGTAAGCTCTGTCAATTAAGGTAAGCTTAATGTGGTCAAACATGAGATGGCCAAGGTTGAACATCAACATCTTGGGAATCAATGAACTAAAGAGGACAAGAATGGGAAAACTGTATTCAGATGACCATTATCTCTACCACTGTGGGCAAGGAATCCTTAAAAAAGGGGTGTCAAACTCGATTTCATTGAGGGCCGCATCAAGGTTGTGTTTGACCTTGGAAGCAGAGGTGGTATTCAGCAGGTTCTGATCACTTCTTGAAAACCAGTAGCGGAAATTTTGAGTAGTTTGGAGAACCAGTGGTAACCTTCCCCCAGGATTGGGGAGGGAATGGAGATTTTACAGTTTCCTTCCCCTGCCACGCCCACCAAGCCACGTCCACAGAACTGGTAGTAATTTTTTTTTGACTCCCGCTACTGTTTGGGAGGCTAGAATGGGCATGGCGAGAGGGTGTGTGGCCAGCTCAACGTCGCTCATGTTGGGGGCGCCTGCGGTGGCCCAAGAGCTCTGCCAGAGGAAAACGGGCTCCCAAGCTCTGTTTTCAGTTGTGATGGCTTCCTGCGACTCTCTGCCAGCGAAAACAGAGCTCAAGAGGGCCACACCACGGGCCAGTTCTTCGCTGTTTCCAGGATGGCCCTGTAGGCCAGATCTAAGCACCCTGCAGGCTGAATCTGGCCCCTTGGCCTTGAGTTTGACACTTATGCCTTAGAAGAAATGGGAGGAATCCTCATAGACAGTATAAAAGAATTGGAAAAGCCGTACTGTGGTACAATCTAAAAAAAATTGATAGAATGATTTCGATTCAAATCCAAGGCAAACCATTCAATATCACAGTAATCCAAATTTGTGTCCCAACCACTGATGCCGAAGAGGTGAAGTTGACCTGTTCTATGATGACCTAAACCTTCTAAAACTAACACATACACACGCACACACTAACCCTAACCCCGGCTGTTCTTTCGAAGGACAGATACCGAAGCTCAAATCCTTTGGCCACCAAATGAGAAGAGAGGACTCATTGTAAAAGACCTTGATGCTGGGGAAAAAAGAAGGCAAAAGGAGAAGGGGACGGCAGAGAATGAGATGGTTAGATAGTGTCATCGACACAATGAACATGAGTTTGGGCAAACCCCAGGAGACAGTGGAGGACAGGGAGGCCTAGCATGCTATGGTCCATGAGGTTGTGAAGAGTTGGACATGACTTACGGACTGAACAACAACAACATTTCAGGCTGTCAACTCTGAAGTGCAGGAATTGGTTTAGAAATCTGTGGTGGTATTTGTTCTTACATCTCCAAGTGGCTTAATTTTTAATACTAAGTCAAATGATGGGAAATATTTGCAACTCCAAGCAAGCCAAGTTGTTTAAGGTGATTCACATCACCTAAATTGATTCAAGAGGGTCACACATACAACTTTTAAATCTATTTGAACACTAAAGAAATATCAAGGGATCAATCCCAGTAACACAACCACACGTGCAGGATCATCAGACTGCATAATCCATCAACCATACGAGTTGATGTAATCTCTACTTGTGTATTTTCACTTGTCTTTCCTTTTGCTGCAAATTCTTAGTTTCGGGGCATTTCTTTGCATTGGTCTGAAAACGTGACCACCACACTTCTCAGAAAACATTGGCAACGTGTTAAATAAAGCATCCAGTGGCAGAAACCATCCTCGAAACCTACCAAGTCTCCTTATGGAGAGATGGAATACGTAGGAACACTGCTCATGCTTTGCTGCTACAAGAGTTAGGGAATACGTAGTGCCTTGAGGACAGAAATAATTCTCCTCTAGTTATTTCAGGTTCCTCGCAAGGAATGGAGAAGCAAGAATAATCTGAACAGGCTGTTTCAGCAGGAAGGCAGAATCGCTGCATGACAAGGAGCAGCGTAACATTCTGATGCTCACTTTTTGAGGAGGGGTCTTTGTGTGCAAGGCAAGGTGCCTCTGTGAAAATAAGTCTACATTCTTTTTTACATTCTTTCTTGGATCTACCCAAAGTATACAATGTGTGTAGTTCTAGTTTTGTATTCCTTTTCCATCAGCTATTCTGCGGAAAATGGTCAATGTTTACATCAGCTCCAAAATCAAAGGATAAAAGGCTTATACGGATGGAAAAAAAAATATTTCCAGGAAAAGCCTAACACCAACAAAAAAAATCTGCTAAATGGAACTGCTCTTCCAATAGTTGTTAAATTGCTCTATAGTAATGGTGGCGCTTAATAAAATTTTGCAACAACGAACCATCAGCTATGCTCTTTCTTCAAGTGATATATTCCTTGTCTTGATCAAGTTCTTTCAGAATGCACAAAGCTTGCCCACAATCCTGAACCTTAACCAAGGAATCCCCGTGGTTCTCTCATCAAGAACATCAGAAGGTTCCTGAGGGATTATTAATAAGTATTAAGATTAGCCAGTAGGCAAAGATTAGTTTACATGAACAAATGAGATAATGGCCTGATTGGACAGGAAGCAGCTGTTTTATTGCTTTCACTTATTACAAGTGTTTCCATTCTTCTGTGATTTTTTCCCCCCAATTGGGGCCAGGAAAAAGAAATGCTCTTTTCCCAATGCCCCATCTACACACGTAAGAGAGGCCACTTTGGTGTGCTCAGAAACTGAAATTGTGAGGTTGCTACTTTTTTTTCGCCCATTCAAACAATACTTTCCCATTTCAAATTATAGCTTTTCTCTCCCCTGTCTCCCAAAGAAGGAAAACCAGGAAGACACAAAGAGATTAAGCCAATCCACATCTGGCCTATTGTGACAATATTCACAAGAGAACTTTGGGGGAAAAGTCACATTCTTGTTTGGATCTTTACCTGTTGGCTCAAATGAGATTTAATGAATGGGGAAGAAAAACAAGTGTATTGACCAATTGTTGGTGCTGTAGTATATTTTCATCCTAGGTTGGATATCCATGGGCATGGTCTTCCCTCAAATTCTCTCTTCTTTCAGGAGGGATGTCTTGGGTTTCCAAGGTATCATTTGAGTAATATTGCCTCACCTTGATCTCTGGATACCATTGCTTGTCATGGGGGGAGATTCGAATAACCCATCTCCTTGGACCCATGTTCCTAATCATTCAACAACTTTCCATTGTGCTTTTCAGATAAAGCTGCTTTTCTGGGCTGTAATGTTACCTCTTCCATCTTGAGGCACGTCAAAGTATTCTCTTTTCTGGAAAAAAGAGGACACACTGTAAGTAATCATTTATGTCCTGGATGCTTAAAAAATATTCTCTCTTTTCCCCCCTCTAGACTTGTGGTTTTGATTTGCCGCTAACTACAAAATATAACTACAGATGTGAATATTCCCTGTTTGCTCATTCCCAATAATACACCACAGTTGCATATTTATTTGCTTCCTTTCTTCACTTGGGAGCAAGCCCCGTTGAATTTCAGTTTGTCATTCTTCTGAATGAATTGGATATGGCAGAATGTAAGTTTGAGCTATTCTTTTTAATCTACCTTAGCCTATTATTTCACTTCTCTCTCTTAGCTTCCTAAAAGTATTAAAAACAGCTAGACATAATGCATGGAAGATAGAGCAAAATTAAAAATATCGGCCTACCTGCCTATTGTTTTAGTCATGAAATGACTCTACATGGGTTGCAGAATAGATTTAAATGAGGTTAAAGAGACAAGATTCAGTCAAGCACATGGTACCCAGTAGGGAAGGGTAACTAATAAACACAGCCCCTCTCCATCAGCTACCAGTAAGGGCCAATTGATACCCCAAGCCCCAAGGTCTGTAATCTGGAAACCATGAGGGAAAGTCTGGAAGAGATTAGACTGGAGTTAAAATCCACCCACCCATCCATCCATCCATCCATCCATCCATCCATCCATCATCCACCCACACATTTATCCATCCATTCATCCATCCACCCAGCAAAATTATTTCTGTATTATAATTTTCCAAAGCTAAATAGATGTATTTTTGAAGTTACCAGAAGTCTTCACTTGATGATTAACCAACCAGTTAACTATTGCCTCTAGAAGTTTAGATGCTCCAACACTGGAGGTTTTTAAGAAGAGATTGGACAGCCGTTTGTCTGAAATAAGATCTCCTCTTTGAGCCAGGGGTTGGACTAGAAGATCTCCAAACCCTTCCAACTGTTATTCTTTTAAGTGTCTGCTCAGTGACTAAAATTTAACCACCATTTTTTGCCACAGTTGTTAAGCAAATCATTTAAGTGTATCATGCAGTCGTTAAGCAAATCTCCATTGGCTTTACTTGTTGGAAGTCAGCTGGGAAGGTCACAAATGGCCGTCACGTGATCCCAGGATTCTGCAATCTATCTATAAATACATGCCAGTTGCCAAGTGCCCAAATTTTAATCATGCAACTGTGGAGATTCTGTGGCAGTTGCAAGTGTGAGATCTGGTCATAAAATACCTTTTCTCAGTGCTTTTGTAACGTTACATGGTCAATAAAGAAACGTTGTATCTCAAGGACTGCTTGTAGTACTCCAAGGAATTAGAAGTAAGTGCTTTCCTTGAGGGCCACCTCACCTGGTAAACATGGTACCAGTGGGAAAAAGCTCTAGGGCAATAAACAAATGTAACTGTGCTTTGGCTAGACCAGTGGTGGCTAATCTTTTTGGGCTCCTGTGCCAAAAATTGCACACACGTTAGCATGCGTACCACTTGCATGCCAGCACCCAGAATGCAATGTGCAGCCCTCCCACCTCCTGCGCATGCACACACAATCCCCCCTGCCACCCCCGCACCCCCTTACCTGCACAGCGCCTCACAGCTGATTTTTTGGCTGGTTTGAGGCCTTTTTTGGCCTCCCGGAGGCTTGGAAAAAGCTTCTGCAAGGCTTCTCAGGATGAATAATAGGCCCATTTTGTCATTTCTGGTCTTACAGGAAGTGACAAAACGGGCCTATTCTTCCTGAAAAGCCTTGCGGAGGCTTTTTCCAAGCCTCCGGAAGGCCGAAAAAGACCTGAAACTAGCAGAAAAATCAGCTGTGAGGTGCACGTATGCACAATGAGGTGAGTTTGCCTGTGGCTCGCGTGCCACAACCATAGGTTCGCCATCACTTGGCTAGACTTTTCCTAAGATGATATGATCTGGGGTCTTGAATTTGCAGGACAAAATATATATATTCTGGAAGTGGAAGTGATTTAACCCAGAAGTATTTGTTAGATTGAGCTGGATTGAAGCTGTTGTCTCTTTATGTCACCAAATTTGGCACTCTGCTTAATTAAAAAATGCATATTACAAAATGAATACCAACTGACCTCAAATTATCTGCTCATCTGAATGCAGAAAGAAATATTCTTTTAGCATTTTTAGTACTTTTATGCCAAATATGAAGTGCACTCTGAGAAACTAATTAAACCAGAGCATTTTGGGGAAAAAGGAGCGGAGGCGACCTAGGTTTTTGTGTGTGAAAAAGATGGATAAGTAAGGGGGTGCTGATTAATACATCAAACTGAGGCTTAAATGTTAATCAAGAGATTTGCTTTGAAGGGAAGGCTGGAACAATTACTTCATCTATTTCCTTTTCTAACAGTATGGAAAGGCAAGATCTTTTGTGAACTGCAGCTCAATTTATTGGACACATAGGATAGGTGCTGGTGAACCTATGAAGTGCCATTTTTGCTGAAATGTGGGGGTTTCTAAAAACTGAGAAGGATGCCTACTGCAGCACCCTCCAGGCCAAAATGGGACGTGGGGGGGGGTCTGCGCGTGGCCCCCATGTGCCTCGTTTTCACCCTTCATGGCCTCCTGCAGCACTCTGCTGGCTGTTTTTGGCCCGTTTATAACCCGTTTATCGGCCTCTTCAGCGCTTGGACTAGGTCACCAGCTATCTGTTCCTTGAGGGTTTTTTGCTGCCTTGTGAGGGCAGCTGAGGCTATTTGCTTGGAAGGGACGATGAAGTTGACAACTTCCTCTGGGGCACTGTTATACTGGGGCATCCTGGACAGGGCATCTGTCAGGAAATTCCTCCCTCTTGTGGGTGGTAGCAAAGAGTGAAGGTGAACCGGTTGAAGTACTGAACCCATCTTGAGTTGCTTAGGGGATAAGTTTTGCTGGAGGTTTTTTTTAAGTGTTTCCAAATTCTTATGGTTGGTCCAGATTTGAAAAGGGACTTTTCAAGCGAGGAGAGTCCAGCGAACTGTGTAAAGCTTCCTTCCTCCAGATAGCTCAGCACCCTTCTGCCTTGGAAACTTAGTGCGAGATGTATGCACAGGGTTGTAGCTTCCCTTGTGAGTTTGTTTGGAGGAGCACTGCCCCCACATCACTGCCATCAGTGGTGGGATTCAAATTTTTTTACTACTGGTTCTGTGGGCGTGGCTTGGTGGGCATGGCAGGGGAAGGATACTGTAAAATCTCCAGTCAGAGGTGGTATTTGCCGGTTCTCCAAACTACTCAAAATTTCCACTACCGGTTCTCCAGAACTGGTCAGTACGTGCTGAATACCACCTCTGACTGGCATATGCCTGAATGACAAATGGCACACCACCACCAAAAGGGAGAATTGCAGGCACTCAATAATTACAGCTCTTTCCTCACCAGCTAATCAGCTGATGTTCTTCAGGGTTTCTGGAGGACTCCCCACGGAAAGTATAGGTCACCACAACCTGAACTTAGCTGCCCCATTGAGTACCCCAGCAACTCCAGAACGATAAACAAAAATAGATTTTTCTCCCTCTTGTGTCATTCACCACTTATATCTAAAGGACTGACTATGGAAAACAATTATTTTCACAACCTGAAGCAGTAGAAAACTTATACGCAAAAGTGTATAAAAAATGAACAGGCTGATTTGCTCATTTGATTTGCACTCATATATTTAAATTAAGGATGACCATCACTGGCTGTTTCCTCTTTTTATATGTAAAGTGAAAATGAAATTAACTAGTTCAGCTGTCTCTGAAGAGCTTTTGAAAGCCAAGGACCAAATGACTAATGTTCTCCTTTTGAAATTCAGTGGTTGATAGGAGTCTCTGAAGATGGCTGGGCTGGTTTCCAGGTTTACTATCAAATTAAAGCAAAACAAAACAGAGCAAAGCAACAGCTTTTAAAGCAACTCACAGATTTATTATAATTGAACATTAGATGTTTAGGGGCCTCAAAAAATATAATGGAAATGGACATATCGGCTCCATGGCGCTGAGAGCGCCTTTGAATTCCATGGAAAGGATTCTGCCCATTGGTTTGGCAGAATGGGAGATGATGTTTTAATTAGTCTTTATGAAATTTTGTTACTGCCAGAGGCGGTCTTCCCCTCCAAAATATGCACATTTGTGCACTAAATCTGTTGTGCCAGAGGGTTTGCAAAAGGCATTTGCTACAAAGATCATTTGCTGGTGTTAAAATGATTCTATTTTGGGGTATGACGGCTTTAGATTTACATGTTTAAACGAAGAGGAGAGTCTCAGTTATACAACTTAAAAACATGTTAAGAGTAGTTGGGTTTTACTTCTCCAAACAAATGCAAAGTGTCTCTTTAGAAGCTGTAAGTTTTGTATCCACTTTTAGCTGTTCAATAAAATACACCAATTATGTGTTCTGAAAAGCTCCTTTCCCAACTAACAAACTTAATTAAAAAGGATTAGCTTTTTGCATTTCATGAAATTTATGCAGCTTATAACTAGGTTAGTGCTCCAGATACCTCATTTTTTTATCACCATAGACACAACTTTTCTGTAATAACTTTGACAATCTTTTAAACACGCACAATCAAAGATACGTGACTTATTTATTAATTTTTATGTTGCTTATCTCTTGTATAAGGTAATTTTGGACATCCTATTCAACATCCTGAAATTCTAGTAAGATAGATTTTTCAGAACTTTCTATCTAGAATTAACCTCTAATAATCCAAAACCCTCTGGACACTAACTTCATCATTCTGATTGTAAGTCTTTTCAGAATAAAATCTTTTAAAGTCATATTTAGATGTACGGTGAAACATTAAGCCTTTTACCACCCACTTCCAAGCTCATAAGTGCTTGTTTGATAAGATGAATGCTTTATTCTAATGTTTCTCAAATTTGGCAACTTTAAGATATATGTAGACTTTAACTCCCAGAATTCCTGAACCGGCATTGGTATAGATGGTGAAACTGACAGCTTGATTAAAGGGGAAAAAATGATCAATTTTATTTCTACTTGGAAACCACTTTTGGATTTTTTGCAAGAAAATGACAGAAATTAAAG